TCTTCTGAGGGAACATTGAAGTTCAGCAGCGAGAAAGAGTTTAAGATACCAAGAATGAGTCATAGAGTACAACTTCTTTTGGGAGCATACCATATGACATTTCCTTTGAAAAGTGTTGACAAAACGATTGAGATGAAATCTGTTCCATACGTATGTTATGGCAATTGTTTGTACATTGAGTCTAAAATAGCTAATGTCACAGGTATTTCAGGAGTTAATAGTAAAGGTTCAGTAGAATATAAGTCTTTCTGTTATGCAGTCAATTCAATGTTCATTCCAAACGTTCCTGTCATAGCAACTCATTTAGGTAAATGGGTTCGCATTAGTCCTCATAATTTGAAAGACATGCAATTCAGACTTGTTAACTTTCAAGGAGAGCCTGTAGAACTGAAGGCACCAGTGCGAATGACTGTTGAAGTTGACTTTTTAGAAAATATTAAATGCAACAGCTTACAAGAGAACTCAGAGCTAAAAATATAAAGTATGAATGTTATGTATTAGGTCATGAACTTTGGTTGTTGCTGTTTGATGAAACAAATGAGTTAGTTATGTCAGTCAAGAGAACAGAAAAATATTGTGTTAGTGAAAACTGCACCAAGTCAATAAGATTAGGTTTGCATTATGAAGATGAGTTCGATACTGTTGAAGAAGTTTTGGATAGATACTATAAGTTGCTAACTTGAAATTTTTTTTGACTGACGGCGCAAAGCGCCAAGATGGGCTCAAAGAGCCCTCCTGACTGCTTTAATTTACTAAAACATATTTCAAACAAAGCTTATATTCTGTTGAAAGTTTTGTATATTCGTTCGAATATTTATACTTAAACTCAACTCCTGTAGTTTCTGGTGTTTCAATGATGCGGATGTTACCTATTTTCATGAATAGTGGAGTTTGACCACAGCATTCGATTTCAGGGTCGAGATAGTCAATGACACATTGTTTCCCTGTTATTCGTGAGATAACATTTTCAAGGTCCTCCTTTGTTAGAATTTTTGGTTCTTGCTTATAAGATTTACCAAAAGCTTCTTATCGTCTTTGAGTAAAATTGTTTGGTATAACTGAAGAAGGTAATGGTCTACGTTATCTGAAGGATTTGTTTGAACATTTGTGTAAGGGTTGTCGTTGGCTTCTCTTGAAAGAATTTGGTCCAGTGGTGGATACTCTAACTTAACATCTGATGTAGCGTTAGCGTTTGAAGCTGTGTTTAAATTCACGGATTTCAGCTCTGGTTTTTTTCTTTCAAACACTCCGAACTATAGTTCTTTATGACAATATTGTTTGTCGTTCGTGAGTCAACATTTGATGTTGGTTCAATTGGAACATTAACGGCACCAGCTAAGATGGATTTGCTTCTCATTTCATATAGAATAAAAACCTTTTATATGTATGAAATGAACAATATACTCGACAAGGGTTTGAATGTAAAGCTAACGAATGAAAATATTGTTGAATTCACTGAGACAGGAGCTGTGTATAAGGATGTAGAACTACTGAACAAAAGAGCTAAGGGAAGAAGCAGGAACATGAACAAAGGGTGGAAGCCTATAAAAATTTATGTCAATGATGGCTCAGGAGGTTCAAACATAAAGTATGCAGAAAGTTATAGAGTTTATGCTCTCAAAGGTGAAAAGCCTTCATTTAAGAACAGCTATTCTAACACATATCCTCAAAAGCTAACGGATGGGGAAGTGGATGATATGAATGACAGCAAAAATATTAACAGAAATGGCGACAGAGATGCATGGAATTTGTTTACCATCAGTCAATTGAAGGTTAAACTTTAAAACAATGTTGGTCGTTCCCATGGAATATTTTTGACTTTAATGGTATTAGTCATGATATGAATCTCAAGGTATGAACGAGGAGAGATGAGAGACTTATATGCTTCCCAAATTTCTTCAAAAGGTAATGTTATACCTGACTGTTTCCAAATGAGTTCAATATCATAGCGTGAGAAACCTTGAAAGATAACGAAGTCAGTTATGAGACGTTTTATGTTTAAAGCAAGGAAACGCATGTTTGCATAAGTATTGCTACAGTTAAATGGTAATGTCTGACTTTAGTTATGATGTTAGCTAATGGTGAGTCAGGCTTTGACACTAAACCTTTTCCGGCGAAGTCGTCACAAACGAGCAGAGTGTTTGAAGGATACTTTTTGAAGGGGTATTTTTGAAAGTTTTGATAGAATGTAGTTTGTAAGTCGTTTCATATCGTAAACTCCTGAGTATTGACGTAAGTGGTGTTTGTCAATAATTCTTTCCATCTCCTCAGAAGTCTTTTGCATTCCTGACTGTATGAACTCTACGATGGCATAATATTTTCTCTTACGTCGAATGTAACGTTGAAGAAATTCAATGAGTTCACTGTCTGGAACTTTAACGACAGATGCTTGAACTTTTGACATAAATGTTTTCGCTGTTGAGTCCATAGAGTCTGAAGTTGCTGATATAATGATTTGGTCATAGTAAGAGTCGTTTCCTAAACGTTCTGTTATGAGTATATGACGAATGAGGTTGAATGTCTTTCCTGACCCATCTTTCCACAATAGAAATACACACATTTGAACAGAACTCATAGTCCTTACTGAAAGGAAGAATAAGAGAAGAGTTTAAGTTTGTCTGTAGTTTCATTCATGTCTTCATCTACGTCATGTATTAAATGCTTCATTTTATTCCATTAAAAATGCAAGTCAGAAATATTCAACATAGCACCGAGTCTAACTGACAAGAGTATAAAGATATACTATGAACACGTTATGATGAAACCAACCAAAATTCAAGAAAGTCAGTATACTTATGAATATCCAAGACACTGGGTAGAGTATGTAGGAGGTGAGAAAGCTATTGAAATCAGACAGGTTCGAAGTATTCAGCAGGAAGAACAATATTATTGAAGAACTTTAATGTTTTGAGATATAATGATGAAACAAAGAAGCAAGATAGTTTCCCTGTTGCTGTGTATGTGAACCTAGACACAGGAGATGACATGAAAGTTTTTAACACAAAGCTTCAAACGGTAGTGAGAGAACAACTGACTGCGGAAGGACATCCATTACCTTCAGAAGTTACTATAGCATATAATTTTGAAACAAATGCAATAGATTTTAAAATCGTCTCTGCAAAGAAGTCAGGTTTTACATTTAATGAAGCAGATGTATATTCGAATGAAAACTTCAAAGCTATTGCATGGTTAGATAATGACGATTGCTTTAAGAAAATATTTAAATACAGTGACTCAACGATGTCAATAGATGACCTTCGTGGAATGTTACCATCGACGTTTACAGTTGAAGGTTCAGCAGGATTGCTTACAAGATTGTCAATTGGTGGTATTTGGTCTCGTGAGAACATTGTTATAAAATCCAGTATAAGTGAATTTGCTGAAGAATCTATATTATGTCTTTCAAACTACATGTATTCGCCACCGAAGCATTATAGTATAACAAACTTTGTCAGTAAGTTTAACATAAGACTTGTCGAACCTTCTTCAATGAGAGATGTTGTGCTACCTAAAGATGGAAAGGATGGACTCATTATTGAGATGATTTTAATAGCATATTAAATGAGCTTGTTCTTGAAGGTCATTCATGATGAAATAACTGTTGTAGAAGATGTTAGCAATTGTTCAGACATTTTGAAGCGTATAGATGATATAAGAAATAAGTTAGATAGACCGCAAAGCGGTGAGGGCGAAGCCCGTGAGAACGCTTATGTTTCATTGACTTTCTCCAGTAACGAGAACTTTTATGAGATAATATTGAAGAGAGATGATTTTAATATGGTGTAAATGGTAGATTGGGCAGCTTTAGGCACAATGGGAACAAAAGCATTAGCATTTGGAGCAAAAGCACTTGGAGCTTATGACGCAGTAAATAAAATGAGTGGAGGAAGGGTTTCGAAGACATTAGACGCAAATAAAGGAAAGATTGGAGGCTGGGTTGCAAAGAAGTTAAGATTAAATAAAATAGGGCTCATAAATAAAGCATCCAATTTGGTTGCGACTGAGTCAGAAAATGCTTTAGGAAAGGACGATGAGTTTGCAAAACACGCAAAAGACTTTAATGACCAGATGAAAGGTGAAACAATGCATTTAAATAGATTCGATGGAACTAAAGAAAATGTTTCTTCTCCACCAGTAGTTCTTCCGTATGGTCCCTATGGAATGTATGGAAACCCTTACGAAAGACCATTTGACCCATTGACTGGTGGAAGTAACTGGTATCATTACGGACGAAGAAGAAAGACAGTCAAGTTGGAGACAGACGTGAAGAAAGCAACTAAAAAGAAACCAAGGAAGAGAGTTATAAAGCAATGAATTCAACAGGGTGAAAAAACAGGTGAAAAAAGAGGTGAAAAAAGAGGTGAGATATCGGGTTAGATCTAACCTTCTACCCTAAATTTATTTTTTGTGCTATGTTTTCATACGTGTGAGGGTGGTGATATCATTTATTTTAAGTTTATTTTTTATTTTATTTTTATATAAATGACGAAAACTATTGAGATAACAAACTACAACGGTCATGAGTTCAAGAATTTGTTCTTCGTTCCTCGTGAAAATACATTCTATCAGATACGAGGGAGAAAGGGTAAAGTTAGTTTGAGCGTTTATGAAGGAATGAAGAATGGAAAGTTTATACAAGCATACGATACAAACGGTAAACGTGTTTCATTAGCTTTGTCAAAACTTACTAACATTTATTTTGACAGTGATTTTGACCTATATGAAGAAGAAAGTGAGTCAGAAGATTATGAGCTGTTATGTGAAGCACAGCAATGGGAGGAGCTGCAATACTTTTGTAAGTGAGAACGTTTATTTTTTTACATTAGTGAAGTCGTTTGTGAAAACGTTAGTGAAGTGAAGTGGTTGGCGGCTTTGTAAATATTTAATGTTAAGTTAGTGTTGTCGTTTGTGTTGTAAAATATACGTTAATGGTTTTGTAAATATTTAAGGTTAAGTGGTATACGGAGGCGCGCAGTGCCTCAGTACACGACTAACCCATACTAACTTACGTTTTCAGTTGCTAGTTCAATAGGTCCTTTAACAGACAATTTGTATGTTATTGGAGCAGTAGATGTTTGACCTTGCTGGAAGCAAAAGTCCACTTCTGTTGGAAAACCACATAAGAAATGTGTGTTGTCATAGCTATCCCATTTATGTTCCACACTACCATCATCCACCAATGACCTCATAACATCTTCATTAAATCCAATCATATCATTGTTTGTATTGCAAGCGTTCGCAACCATTTCATAAAATACAGGTCCATATGATTTTTCAGGTTCTGCAGGCATATTTCCATAAGCTCCCATGGAAAGCTGAAGATATTTAAACTTAGGGTTCTCAAAATTAACATAATAGTTGTCTTTCTTTCTAAATAGTGCCCAAATACTTTTAACATTAATAGGCGTATAAGCTGCTGTAAATGTTGCACTTGAACTATCTGTATTCTTTGAGAATGAACCGTCCATAGGAATCCAATCCATAACTTTAACAGGAAAACATAAAGCCTCGTTTGTATAATGTTCTACAAGTTCTGTATAAATGTTAGGGTCTAAAGAGAATGACTTTGGATGAATGAAACATTCATTAAAATCCATCTTTGTTCGAAATAGTTGCTGGTTTACAGTTGTAATAGTAACTGTTCCACTAGCTTCTATTGCCTTCGTTATCATAGTGAATGGTTCATTCCATGGAACAAATTTATTTGTCGGTGGATTTGAATCTGAAGCAAATGCAACTTTAAGAGTTGGATTGAAAGCAATGATATCATTTACAGATATAGATGTGCATTGTAAGGCGTCGCTACTGAACTTTACTTTAAGCTGAATGTTACCAGCAAAAGCTGGAATAAATCGAATAGCTTCTAATGGAAGGAATCTTCTAACAGGAATTCTTAAACGAAGCTTAAAATCAAATGATTTTCCTGCTGTAATTGGACCACTAACAATTTGTCCTGTTCTGCATGTTCCCGAATGACTCCATACATCTTCATGTCGAGTCTTTGAGAAAACATCTACTTTCTTTATTTGTTCGGTAGTTTGTGAGTTTGAAGTTATATATGCTTCTTCTCTTGCGTTGTCTTGAGAATATACGATACGACCATTTGCAATGATTTGATATCCAGCAACTGCATAGAAAGCGTCATCGAAACCAATCCAAAATCCTGGTGGGTTTGTTTTATTGGAACCTGAACCAATTTCTTTATCTGCAATAAATTGACCTTCCATTTTATACGTAATGAATGTATTGTAAAGGTCCAACATATTTTCACCAGGAGGTGAGAGATTGAATGTTACCCATGTGTTATCTTTAGCAGTTCCAGGTTGTGATGGAATCTTTGCGTCAGAATATTTTCTATTAGTGTCACCAATTTGAACTGCATTGTCTATGATATCGAAATATGAGCGAATCTGATGAATATGCTCTGCTGGAGTAAATTCGTTTAGCTGTTCGTTCTGCATGTATTTACTTCAGATAAAAATATCTATTTACTTCATTATTCTCACTCTTCTTCTTGGCATTCGTGGTGGAAGTTGTTTCTTGACATTTTCAATGAACTGTACATTCTCTTTTCTCTCAACTTCTTTCACTGGTGGGTCAGGGTTCTTTGACTCGGTTTGTTTTTCAATGAAATTCACGAACTTTGCAATAAGCTCTTGGTTCGTTATTGAAAGAACATCTGGCTTCTTTTCTTCTGGTTCTATTGACTTTTCAGTTTGAATAGAAGGCTTAACATGGGCTTCGTGGACTTCACCCTTACCATACACCTTAATGTTGTCGCTTTCTGTATTCGCTAATGGAACCTTTCTTTTTCTTACGTATATTTTACCATCTTTACTCTGACTTACGTAATAGAAAGGATGTTGTATTCCTCTTGCGTCATTTAATATAATAGACTCTCGCTCTGATTTTGACAAGCTCATTTTACATCGGTTAAAGTTTTAATTTTGTTTTTTATCTGCAGTCAAATGACTCAGACAAGTCATATGGACAAGACCCAAGGGGTCATAGATGTTGAAGCATTGAAGAAAGAAATTCGCGAGCAAATTTTATCCGAACTGAAGGAACAAAAACAAGAACAAAAGCCAGAGAGACCAAAGAGAAAACTTAGTGAAAAACAACTTGCTGCATTAGCTGCTGGAAGACAGAAGAACCCACGTTTGCTGGCAAAGAAAGCTAGAGAAGAAGCAAAAGCAAAGGAAGAACAAAAAGCTAAAGAAGCTGAAGCAAAGAAAGAGTAAATGGTTTATTTTTATCCGAATTAAATGTATAGACAAATACCTTTAACTGTTGCGTTCAGTAGTGAAAACCCTGACGTCAAAATAAAGGGGAACAGAGTAACGTTTAAGTTTCCAACAGACTGGATTGTGAACATAAATGAAGAGAAGTACATTGGCATAACATCTATGTATATAACACGTGCTTTCAGAAAGGTTGACTTTATACTTCAAGTCGAGATAGAAAATGACGAACAGTCTTTAAGCGCCCAAAACATTCACATATACAAATACTTTAAAGACGATACAACATTGTTGCAATGTATGATTTCATTTAATGAGATGTTCGAGAAAAAGTTCAACATTGAAGTACAAACTTTACAGCCTTTACGTGAGTTTCTTGCACAACTGAAGGAAGAAGGTAGTCGGCCACAACTTATAGACTTTCATTATGAATTTAATGAAAATGAAGATGGAACTCATGACTGTCAATTCATTGTATTCTCACCATTCAATGAAGTCGCTAAAGAGAAAAAAATCCATTACGTATAAGATTTCAAATCTCTGAACCCAATGAAGATTTCAAGAATGTTTTCAATTATGATGCAATGCTTCCGAGGAAAAATGAATTTTCAAAGATTGTAACACCTGGCATTTGGGATAGAAAGCAAGCTATATTATATTCAAACTTAAGTAAGGGAGTTGAAAATGAGTTCATTGGTCATACAAGAACTTCACCACTTCCTAACCCTAAATACTATAAATTAACTGGCTTCAATCGTGAGTTTTGGATAGACATGTTCTCCACTCATGACCATAACTGCCAGTGTTCTTACCTCCAGACCATAAGGACTGTCTCTACATTGAAGCAAACTCTTAAACTCTACCATCGCAGTATTGTAAATGACCACATGGGCTTCGCCCTTGCCGCTAGCGGCTTATTTTTATCATGAATGACCTCATTGCTGACAAAAATAAATGACCTCATTCATGACCTCATTGCTGACCTCATTCATGACCTCATTGCTGACCTCATTCATGACCTCATTGCTGACAAAAATAAATGACCTCAGAACTTCAACTTACGAATAAAGCTTGTTTTAGTCGTTATTGAGAAGTTAAACTTCTCTTCAAAGCAAGGTTGACATGACTTACATAAGTCAAATCCAATCTCTTGACCGTCATAAAGTGCTTTATAAAGTTTCATGACACTGAACTCAGAGTCTTTGTCAAATTTTCCTTGCGGAACCATTAAACCTTTATCTTCATTGTAATAGCATTGTATAGCTTCAGGAAACATTTCATTAGCGGTTAAAGCAATAACATCTTGCTTCACGCCTTTCATTCTGCAGTGAAATGCAACTTCATTTAAATCGTTAGTGAGTAAGTCTATGTAGGTCTTCTTTCCACAAAATATTGACTTGTATGCTAAACTTTGTTTTCCAGGTGTTATTTCTGCGAAGTCGCTATGAAACTGACCAAGGTTTTTACCAATGAGAACTCTTCCATAACGTTTCTCAAACTCTTCAGCTAAACGAGGGATATCTTCATTGTAGAGATGCATACTGTCGGTATCGCTATAAAAGATGTCCATTCCTAAGTCTTCAGCAGTACAGAATACTTCACACATTATTCTCTTCGACATAGATAGAATGTTAACACCAAGTGGACAGAAGTTAAAGTGTCTGCAAATGCTTTTCGTTAGCTTGAAAATAGTTTTATCTGAACTATCCAAACCTTCGAACTTCACTATATGGTTGTAATTTCTTATAGCATATCTTATAGCATCTTTGTCATCTACTATGGTTATTTTTGACTCAATAGGAGATAAAATGGTTTTGCCATAAATGCTGTTCAGAATGAGTTTTATAATTTCTTGTAATGGGTTTTCTTCTTTCTTATACTTTAACCTTAACTCAAACAATTTCTTAACTTCATCTCTTATTCTCAAATCTCTGTTTCCATCGTAATAGTATCCTTGCAACACTTCACATTTGACACCTTGATATTTTATGAGGTCTTGTAATGTTATATGGTCAACATACATTAAACAGCAAGTGTTTGAACTTCTGGGAACGTTAAGTTCTGGATTTAGTTCAGGGTCACAAACTATTAAAGGAAAGTGTCTGTGTATACCAATCTCTGTTATCTTAATGAGAACAAAGAAGCCAGACATAAACTTTTCACCAATGGGTTCCTTTTGGTCGTCATCGAATAAATGTCTCATGAGATACTCTGTGCTTAACATCTCATCCTTCAATACTTTTGGAATTCCTTCTAAAGTATACAATCTTGCTATAGCGGATGGATATAATGAAACAGCGTCGAAATCAGCAATGAGTTTCTTTTCGCTCTTTTGTTTAATGTTATCTGACAGCATACATCTTCCACCTTGAATGCATCTCGAAATAAATTCTCTTGGTTTATTTGAGAGGTCATAAAGATTTCCATTCGGGAAGTACACTCTGTTCTCAAATAATTTGTTAGCAATAGAACAAATACTAACGTAGTCATAAACGTTTAAATCAAACTCTTTCAATAAGTCATTGCGGAACTTTACAAAACCTTCTCTTAAAATTCTTACATCTTGTTTGCAGTAAAACGTGCTATATTTTTCTAAGTCGAAGTGGTTCTCATCTATTCTGCAACCTTTGATGGAATCTATGTTCTTCATGAACGTTTCAATATCTTTTACAAACTTACACGCTTCAGAAATGACACCAGTTCTGTTGTCATTTGCTAACAAAGTACTGCTGTAGTAGTTGTATGGAAATACTTCTTTCGGTCCTGTTTGTAAGTTAAACATAGCAGGAAATAGTTTAAGCTTCTTATTTATAACACTGTAAGAGTCTTTTATAATAATTGCCCGTCCTTTATATAAACCAGTTATTTGCATTGTTCGTGAACCTTTAATGATGGGAGTTCCTTTCACTTCTGTCATGTGTCTTAAGATGAAGTTTATATCATAACTGAGGTTATGGAAATATATTAAACTCTTGTCAGGAAGTCGCTCCAAAAATTCTGTTGCGCAGTTTTGACCCCATATGCTTTCACTCACTGAACCATCTTCACTGTCAAAACAGATGTTAAAAGCTTTATGAAAGCCATCGGTACTGCACTCAAAGTCAGCAAAGAAAACGTGCTCAGGAATGAACTTGCACTTATTTTTATTTACTTCTTTTGACTCTGCTTTCTTCTTCAGTTGTACACAATACTTTGGAGCATATGTCAAATCTTTAAATGGTGCAAGGTTCTGTTTATATAAGTCAGTCGTATATGTGAAAAGTTCTCCATAAGAAATAGGTTCGAAATATTTGCACTCCCACAATGTTTTCATAACATCCCATAACGGTGTTGTTCTATCATAACGAACTACATATTTGTTCTCTCTCTTTGTATAAATCTTCATCTGTTTCTCAATGTTCATTCCACCACAAGCTTTGAGAATTTCTTTATAGTTTCGAATGAAGTATGTTGTCATTGGTAATCTTTCATTTAGCATGTAGTGGTGTTCAACAAGAAGTAAGTCAATAGTTCGAGCAGTTTCACATTCTTTTGGTATGTAGTGAATTATTCTGTTATCTTTGGAGTTGTCGAAATAACCAATGGTAACATTAAATGCTATACCAGTTGCGTCAGAAATTTCTTGTACTTTACTTTGAGGAAAGTCTCTAACACGAATGACTTCTCTCATGTGGTCAATAGTTTCTTCATTTACTCCAGCCTGAATGCAAGCATAAACGAAACAATTGTCTTCTGTCATAAGTGTTGCAGTTCTTTTGTTCAGTTCATTGAAGATTTGGTAGCGTTCAAGATTTATAGGTAATGTGCAAAGATACTTCCAGAACTGACCGCTTCTCTTCTTATAAAACTTCTTTTCACCAAGGATTTCATTCCAGAAGTCATCTATATCTTGTTTATCTCCTGTTTGTTTAAGTCTGTTCAATAATCTTTTCTGTCTTTCTGTCAGTGTGCTTTCATCTCTATATGGTCTCTTTTTTGGTTTGCCTTTCTTTACATCTGACATCGTTAAGCCTTCATATTCTGTTAAATCATACATCTTTATTTCAGTAAGATTCTTTATGTTTGTCAAGAAGAAGTCATAGTGCATTTCAACAATACCTGCAGCATTTGCTTCTATCTCTGATATAAAGTTCTCCTTCAAGAGCTGATGTAGTAATGTTCCAATATTATTGAGGTTTAACGTAGAACATTCATACTTTCCACCAAGTTTATAACATACCATCCATCTCTGTTGTGAGTTTATTTTAATCTTCTCTAAGAGTCTCATGAAAACCTTACCGAAATGTTTGTGTAAATAGTCTCTGTTTGGTTCATCTAAAGCTTCGATGTTAAAGTCAATGAGTCTATTGCCTGACTTCACATTTCTCTTCCTATTCTCTTCATCTTTCTTTAACCATCTCTCACCTTCTTTTGGTTTGTCGTCAATGGAACGAATGACATCGTTAGCTTTGCGAACTTGTTCTATAGCATTTTTAAACATCTCTCTTCTCTGTTGTTTCAGTGTGTCATCTCTCTTTCGTGTTTCACCAACGTTTGAGTTCGTAAGTTCAAACATCTCTTGACGAACATCATGAGAAAGAGCTTTACGAGTATGACCAACGTTCGCATTTGTTATGTCAAACATCTCACGCCTTACTTCATGAGGTACTGAACGTCTATGATATAAGTCAATAGCAACGTCATTTAAAGGAAATGCTCTTGCATTTATGAACTCATGAATTCTATCATAAGTTATTTCACCATTGTAGTCATTGAGGATGTCAGCGAGTGCTTTTTTGTTTGTCGCGTAATGTTTTGCAACATCTATGTTAGCTTCTGTAAGAAGTTGTTTTATTTCCGAGTGTTCTAACTTAGACAACTTCCGATACATCTTTAGTAGGAAATAAAAAAATATTTTTTTGAAAAAATTAGATTAGATTTTTTTAAGTTATTTTTCAAAATAATTTAATATTTTTATTTTAATAAAACACATGCAAGATTGCAAGTTCTTTTCATACAATGCTCTCGCTACTGCCATCAAGAATGAGTTCAATAATGCTTCAAATGTTAATGTTATCTTTAACAAGAAGTTTGTGAAAGAATCTAAGTTTGGTCAGTATGTCGGACCATTAGCTATTGTCATCGACCGCAAACGTTATACTTCACAAGAGTTAGCAGTAGTTTTGAAACAAAAGGGTTTCTTCGTGAATGTCAAAGATACTCATTATACTGTCATAAAGAACTCTAACATTGACTTCTTCAGTATTGCTATGAATCTTTCCGAACAGAAAGAATATAAGAAGGGTGAAACAAATGTGAAATATTATCCTTCATCTCTGAAGACAATAACGAACAAAGATGTTATACAGAAATTCTTACCAAAGGTTGAAGAAGCTTCTATTGACATTGACGAAGAAAGTGAAATGGTTGAAGAAATTGACCCTGACGTCATTTAAGCAAAAATATATTTTTTTATTCTTCCTCTTTGAAGTTATCGAAATATTCTGTTATTTTTTCCTTCAGTAATGGTAAGTCTTCTTTGAATGTAAGTATTGTGCAACCTTTGATGTCATAGTGTGTTTGAGGAAGAGTACTTTTGACAATTTCCTTTATTTGCTCATTCGGTGTCATTGAAATCGGTAAGTTTTCACGATAGAACCAGTTTCTGTCAGATTTATATATTTTAGCAAGGTCATAAAAGCTCTTGTTGTTTCTTCTGACTAAATGCAACATAACCATATCTTTATCTTCTTCTTTCTCCAACTCTTCAGTATATATCATATACTTATAACTCTTTTCCTTTCCTTTTGGTACTGAACGTGGTATTCTTTTCTGTATGCTTTTGTCTTTGGATTCAATGACTTCATCTTTTACTTGAAGTTTCTTTTCCATCTCTCCACGTTCTGCTTTATATAGTTCATCTAACATTATGAAAATATAACAAGCATAACGAGGTGAAGCCCACATTGCTACAGCATTTACTAAAAGTCTATGAACATAATATCCTTTCAAACCAGGTGCCAAATTCTTGCGATTTTCGAATGGAATCTCTTCTCTCGGTTTTCCGAGGGAAGCAATCATATGGAAATTCTTCTAAAAGTTCTTTTGTCTGTTGGTTTTCAAACCAATGATATGCTTGCTTTGTAGAACGAAGAGCATTCATTATACTTGGCATTTGGTACATGTCATCTTTGACCGAACGAATGAGGCGAAGTTGTTTGTTATATTGTATGTATTCATATTCTTCATTTATGGCTTCATGAACGATAGCAGTTGTTGTGTTCTCTGATGTTGACATTACTGTCTTTACATACAAAATAAAAAAATAAATAAAAATAAAACTAACTTTATTTTCTGACTTTCACAAAAGACCAAAAATAAACGCTTTACATGTATTTTTCAGCAACTTCGTCAAATAATTTTATAGCTTTATCTATCTCATCTACTTCAAACGTTTCTTTACCTTTCATGGGAGCACCATACATTTTCTCAAAAACTTCAGGCAGTTCTGTTTCAGCAGCTCTCATATCATTAACGAACACAACCTTGACTCTATTGACTGTACTGTCATATCTTTGAGTTATATTATATGTTCTTCCTATCTTATATTTTTTTGTATTGAAGTCCTTCGGTTTCTGAACGATGTAAAGTAAGCCTTCACTGCAACGTTCTGAGTCGAATGAACCATATGTTATGAAGTTATATCCAACAACTGGGTCAATCCATAACAAAACTATTGGTATAAGACTTTTGTCTATAAGATATGCTCTTGTTCCATGAAATGCTACTGATATCATAAGCTCAGGATTTCTTGTCAAAATTTTCTGAGTTGAAGCATTTCTAACCCAGTCGTTTGTTTTCTTTCCAGATGGAGATATAATGTCTGACAAAGAATATTTGTTGTATTTCTTTGAGTATCTTACGTTTAAATCACCTATTCTAACCACTTTGGTGTCATTGTCTATCTTTCTAACTGTTTCAAACTCAATGTTTGTCATTACTGTCTTTACATACAAAATAAAAATTTTTCTTAGAAAAAAATTAGCGTTATTTTTTTTATCTTAAGGAAAATTCATGATTTTTGTTGCTGAATTCAATAAAAATATATTTTAGGTGAAGAGGTGAGATTTCACCTGTTTTCTCACCTAATTTTTCACCCCAGTTATTTTATAAGCGTTTTACATGGTAAACGTTATTTTTTAAATTTTGTGAAAACTCAACGGTTTGACACATGCCCTAAAAATTATTTTACTCAGAATTTTGTTGCTGAATTCAGCAAAAATAATGTTTAGGGTAGATGGTTAGATCTAACCTCATTTCTACCCTCATTTCTACCCTCATTATTTATAACCGTTTTACATGGTAAACGTTATGAATTCGTGAGATTCTAAACAATTTCGTAGCTTCTATTTCTTCAGTTAATATATCAAAAATTTTAACAATGCCGAAAGTTTCTTTATACTTCTTCTTGACATCAGATAAAAGGAAATCATCAGCTGTGGGATAGTTTTTATTAAGAAATGTCAACATGTCCATTTTATCTTCTACTGGCTTTTCTGCTTCTTTCTTTAAGTCTGCGTAATCGTTTCTCATTCTTTCTATCTCTTTTACTGAGTAGTTATATTTCCTCATTGCTGCTTTACATTTTGAACATTGCGGATTCATTTTTGCGTTATACATTGAAACATTACCAGCTAGAACAACTAAAGCATCAATGGCTTTCTTTAAATCTGAAGCAGTTGGTTTTATCTGTTCGTTCCATACTTTGCCTCTTCTGTCTTTATCTCTTATCTGCCACACACATTCAGCAGCTAATGAAACAAAGTTATCGTAAGTCTTAAACTCCTCAGATTTATATATGTCAGAAATGTTTTTATAAACCATGTCGCAATCTTTGTTCATAACTTTATGGTTGCAATGAAAACCAAGGAATTCATAATTTACTTTACGTATGAACTTCTTTATTTCTACTGAATCAGTAACTTTAACTTCAATTTCATCGAATTCAGGAATAGTTAGTTTTTGTTGCTGAACTTCCGGTAATTTAGGCAAATGGTCTATGATATCTTGCATTTCATATAGCTCCTCTCCATTTGTTTCATCTTTCGCACTACAGTCTAAATTACTTGTTAAAAGTTCTTGCTTTATTCTTTGTATTTCTGTTTCAAAAGTATATGAAGAAGGAATGAAGTTTTTCATCTCTACCAACATTGACGTAGGATTCATGATTAATGAATTTGGTGCCGTGCATGCTGTCGAAAGTGCTGATGTTTCGATTGTTGAAATCATATCTTTTATACAAAATAAAAAAAATAAATAAAAATAAAACTAACTTTATTTTTTCTGTCTTAAGGAAATTCATGAAAATTCATGAGGGTAGAAATGAGGGTAGAAATGAGGTTAGATCTAACCATCTACCCTAAACATTATTTTTGCTGAATTCAGCAACAAAATGAACGAGGTCAGGATGTATGTAAATACCTTTGAATTCATTTATAACGCCCTTAGTAAGCTCATAAAATGCTTGTTTTGAGGTGGAGCCAAAAGTGGCTCGACCGTATTCTTTCAACCAAAACTCAAGAATTTCTGCATGAATTTTGTATAAAAAGCAACCGTCTGAATTCAGACTGTTGCTATATTCTTCACAAAATGCCTTATAATACTCTTCCCAGGACTTATTTTCCAACAACTTTCTAAAGTCTTTCCTAAACTGACTGACTGACTGACTGACTGACGGCACAAAGTGGCTTAACGAAAACATTAATATATAAAATTCATGAAAATTCATGAGGGTGAAAAAAGAGGTGAAAAAACAGGTGAGATCTAACCATCTACCCTAAATATATTTTTGGTGTAAATTTATGGTACCATTAATGATATCATGACTGTTCTCGTTCATGTCTGATTTACATCTAATGAAAAAGTTTAGAAGAATTTTCTTATTCTTTCTGGCATATTTTTGTCTTTCCAGTACTCCCGCTCTAATGGTCCCAGATGTGTTGGCTTCGACTCTCTCAAGTTCTTAGATGGTATAACATCTTCAACGCCTCCTTCATATCTTACTTTATAAGTGTCATCGTTTGTGTTATAGCCAAGTATTTCAATAACCACTCCTCGCTTTGCTTCGTCAATGGTTTCAGCAAGTTTGCCATTACTACTTTCGACTAATTTATGACGAGGATAAAACGCTATGGAGTCGTCAGCAGCTTTTATAAGATATCCATTACCTTGCGTAGAGTCTACGATATAATAATTTCGACTTAACCTTAAACGTTTCTTTGTCAATGGTTTGTCGTCAAGAACTACACGAACTTTTGTACCAGGAATGAGGGTAAATTGTGTTGAATTTCTGATATTTTGTGTTTGACTTCGTTTCTTTTGTATATACTTTTTCTTGTTGTTGTGTCATTGAATTTGGTGTATGTCCTGTTGTAGAATGTGTTGAGGAATTATATACTTCGAGAAAATGTTTCATTGTTTCTTCGGTAAAGTCTCGCTCTTGATTTAAATCTCTGAGCGTTCTTATGAAGCGGTTTATGATGCCGAGTATGTTATGGTTATGGTCTTCAGTAGTGTAGTGAGTTATGTTATGCTTAATGAGAAAATCTGTGATTTCATTGCTGAGGTATGCACTGTCTTGTCTGATGTTAAAGTACTTGGGCTATGTTCTGCTACAAACTTTTGTAAAACTCTTAACACTTCACGAGTTCCTTTATTCCTCATTATATACGCAAAAGCTTTGCAAGTGTTAACATTAATGAAGATGAGGAATGGTTTATGTCCTCCTTTTCTGCTTTGAATGAGAGTGTCAAATTGGTATGCGTCAGGAGTGTTGGAGTAAATTGGAAAAAGTAGTCGTAAGGGTTTATTTTTGTTTGATGTACAACATTTTTGTCAAAGAACTTTTTCACTTCAGCTCTGTTAGTAAATCCCCAACTTTTTGCTGCTTCATTGAACTTCTTAAATGACCTCCATGGATGTTGTTCGAATACTTCTTTCAAGCTCATTTATGTAAAGTTAAAGAGTTTAACCAACTCGTATCCAAGCGTGCATTGTTATATAAGGAGGCATATAATCTTTTCCATTACCTGCTGGGTCTGTAATACCAGCTACAACATGTGTATGATTTCCTGCAGTTCCACAGAAAATACCTGTGCTAACATCTTTGGGGTCATCTGAGATATCATATCTATTCATTCCCCATCTATCCGAACCCGCTGCAAGATTTATATAACCTCTTTTTGTTATTGAATGTGAATGGTTTCCTTCCACAGATGTTCTTCCACTGAACCTATGCATATGTGAAGGAAGGTTTTCAATACCTATTTTCTTTGAACCTCCCATCTTCATTGACTGCGTATTAGTGTAGAATGGAAAACTGTCAACTATTTCATACCATCTACACCAAATAAAGTGTTGGGATTATTGGATTCATAGACGTATAAACAGCTCCTATAGGATATATTAAATCATATATGCTCATAACTCTATAAACATATTCTAAAGAACTTATGTCATTAAATACCATTTGGAATGTATCTCCCGGATGAAATGTTGCATTTGTTCCACTTTTATAATGTAATGTTAGTTCAATAGAATTATCCAAGAAAAATTCAAAAGTATCTGGTTGAAGACCTCTAACAAATTCAAATGGAGTTGCTGGTTCACCATTTATAATTTCTGTTGTAAATGTCATTGTATCTGGTTTCGAAAATTTCTTTGTTAGTTCTGCATCCACATAAGTTTTATCTGCTTTTTTATCTAACATTGCTGGTAGTCCATGTGTTTCAAAGTTTCTGACATGACCTTCAATGTTCATACATTTACTATTTAAGGAGTTTAGTGTATCTTTTACGCTTGTACTTGGATTCTCTAAAGGTGCACTTGAACCAAGGGTATAGTTCAATATTATGTCGTCTGCTCTAACAGTAGTGAAGGATTTATGTGTATGGTTCTTGTCGGCTTTACTGTCTAATGTAGCTTGAAGTTCATTTATATCGGAGATGTTGTGTTTATGAGATTTCAAAACTTTGTTCATTGCTTCGAGTTCAACTTTGTCAGCTTTACTTTTAATAGCATCTTCAAACGTTATTTTTGACTTAACTCTCAAAGTAAATCTTGGTTCAACTAATACACCTTTAACAGAGAAAGTAGAGGCATAAATTTCATCGTTATAACTAAATGCTTCTGGTGCTTTACCCGTGTCATACTGTACAGTACAGCTTATGTCATAACCTTTAGCACGAATGTATTTATATCTTCTTTCATTGGGGTCTTCCGTCTTCACTTCATCACTTCGTGTTAAATATCCATGGTAGTCCGTTATAATCTGTTCGTCTGAAGTTATATAATGAACGTGGTTCTTGACTTTATCACTCAGAGCTAAAAGCTCATTTTTGTCTGCTTTTTTCGGCTAATTTCTCATTTAACATCATTCACTTCTAATTCAACTCTTCCGCCAGAACTCTTATTATCATTAATCTTTTTCATTAATTCGGTAATTACGTCATAAAAGACTATATTCTGTTTTCGGTTTTGTAAATAATGAGTCAAAATTTCTTTTCATCATTACATCGCTGACATTAATGATATCACCAATTCCTTTTTCATTTATTCTCTTCATTAATTCTGCAATAATGACGAATATATAATCTGTTAATTTATTCTCTTCATCGAGGGTTATAGAATGTTTTGAAATTGAATCATTAACTCCTCTAAATAAATCAATAACTTCAGGATACACGTTTTTAATGTCTCGAATAACCCGACCAGTATCCTGTTGTTCATGTTCTTCGTTCCGTCGTTACGTGGTTTTATATCTCTAACCATCATCAACGCAGCCATAACCGGAGGGTTTGTTGCTATCTGTTCGAAAATCTGACCGTTATGTATGGTATATCTAAATAATTTCTTTGTGTTTGTTAAAACATTTGAAACAAGTCTTTTAAAAACCATCTACAAAATTTCCTGTTTCACCTAATGTTCTTGCAGCATTTACAAGCTCACCCATTCCCGCTTTTTGACCCAAAAACGTCCATATTGCATTTATTTCACTCTGTATAGTTGTCCATTCAGCGAAACTAACACCCGCATTCGCTAAGCTGAAAATGAAATTCAGTGGATCGAACTTAATTCCACCTTCTTTTTCAATTTCAACGAACTCACTAACATGAGATTTTAAGTATTCTTTCGTTAAAATTGTTTTCCCCGATGTTATGTCATTAACGAAACTATCACCGTCAAAAGTTAACGAATTCAATTTCGTCGTTGATGCTTTTATTTCATACACCGCTTTATTGATAGTTTTTGGCTCACCTTCTTTAGAAGCATATGAAACATTAATGAATGAATTATATGTATTCGTGAATGAATTAAAATCAATGATTTTCATTAATGACGCCTTTAATGATTCATTTACTGTCGAATCCCTTAAAGTAATTAATGAACTGTCATTTATGAAAGGTACACTGCAAACCGTCGAGTTTGGATCAAATGCTGTAGTTGGTGCAGGAATATTAATGATATAAGTCATTAAATCATTAAGTGACGTAAATAATGTTGTCGTTTTTGATTTAATTTCTTTAGCATCTGTTATATATGGTAATTTTATTTCTGTAGTTTCTGAATTAAAGATATTCGCTAAAATGTTTTGTAAACTGTTTTGAACAGCTGTGTAAACCGTTGAATCCGGAACTCTTACGATTTCACCGTCCTTAATAAAAGGCATTGCACATGGTGTAGTGCTTGGGTCAAATCTTTCGGGATTATAATTCAACATATATTCTAACGCTTCATATACAGACTTATATACTGTTGTGTCGTTCTTCATGACAACTTCACCATTTACAATGAATGGCATAGTACATGGAGTTAAAATAGGGTCAAACTTTTCATAGTCCTTCCATGTTATGTATTTCTCGGTATTTCCATCACTGATAACAATATATTTGTCAGTAAGTGTGAGAGAGTATTGACCAAAATATAAACGTTTAGCTCTGTCAGCTTCATACGCATATGCAGCTATACTCATATTTTAATGAGAATAAAATGTTGTTCTATTTGCAAAGTACAGACCCAAACGAATACGGGACAGTAAAGCTACAAACAAACTTAGGTCTACAGAATGAGGCGCTTGCATTCAGAATGGTTGACTTCAATACTATCCTTCATTCGTTATAACAGATGAAACAGATTTCATGGAGCTTGAAATAGATGGAAAGAAGCATGAAATAAGATTTCACAATAATGTAGAATATAAGATGGAAACATTAGCTGGAGTGTTAAATGCTCTCATAAATACTACAATAAACAAGGATAACGAAGAAAACTTAATGAATGTTAAACTTATTGCAGGAGTTTTGAAGTTCAGTTATGCGAAGGAGTTTAAGATACCAAGAATGAGTCATAGAGTACAACTTCTTTTGGGAGCATACCATATGACATTTCCTTTGAAAAGTGTTGACAAAACGATTGAGATGAAATCTGTTCCATACGTATGTTATGGTAATTGTTTGTACATTGAGTCAAAAATAGCTAATGTCACAGGTATTTCAGGAGTTAATAGTAAAGGTTCAGTAGAATATAAATCCTTCTGTTATGCAGTCAATTCAATGTTCATTCCAAACGTTCCTGTCATAGCAACTCATTTAGGTAAATGGGTTCGCATTAGTCCTCATAATTTGAAAGACATGCAATTCAGACTTGTTGACTTTCAAGGAGAGCCTGTAGAACTGAAGGCACCAGTGCGAATGACTGTTGAAGTTGACTTTTTAGAAAATATTAAATGCAACAGCTTACAAGAGAACTCAGAGCTAAAAATATAAAGTATGAATGTTATGTATTAGGTCATGAACTTTGGTTGTTGCTGTTTGATGAAACAAATGAGTTAGTTATGTCAGTCAAGAGAACAGAAAAATATTGTGTTAGTGAAAACTGCACCAAGTCAATAAGATTAGGTTTGCATTATGAAGATGAGTTCGATACTGTTGAAGAAGTTTTGGATAGATATACAAATTGCTTTAATTTACTAAAACATATTTCAAACAAAGCTTATATTCTGTGAAAGTTTTGTATACTCGTTCGAATATTTATACTTAAACTCAACTCCTGTAGTTCCTGGTGTTTCAATGATGCGGATGTTACCTATTTTCATGAATATTGGCGTTTGACCACAGCATTCGATTTCAGGGTCGAGATAGTCAATGACACATTGCTTTCCTGTTATTCGTGATATAACATTTTCAAGGTCCTCCTTTGTTAGAATTATTTGGTTCTTACTTATAAGATTTATCAAAAGCTTCTTATCGTCTTTGAGTAAAATTGTTTGGTATAACTGAAGAAGGTAATGGTCTACGTTATCTGAAGGATTTGTTTGAACATTTATGTAAGGGTTGTCGTTGGCTTCTCTTGAAAGAATTTGGTCCAGTGGTGGATACTCTAACTTAACATCTGATGTAGCGTTAGCGTTTGAAGCTGTGTTTAAATTCACGGATTTCAGCTCTGGTTCTTTTTCTTTCAAACACTCTGAACTATAGTTCTTTATGACAATATTGTTTGTCGTTCGTGAGTCAACATTTGATGTTGGTTCAATTGGAACATTAACGGCACCAGCTAAGATGGATTTGCTTCTCATTTCATATAGAATAAAAACCTTTTATATGTATGAAATGAACAATATACTCGACAAGGGTTTGAATGTAAAGCTAACGAATGAAAATATTGTTGAATTCACTGAGACAGGAGCTGTGTATAAAGATGTAGAACTACTGAACAAAAGAGCAAAGGGATGAAGCAGGAATATGAACAAAGGGTGGAAGCCTATAAAAATTTATGTCAATGATGGCTCAGGAGGTTCAAACATAAAGTATGCAGAAAGTTATAGAGTTTATGCGTTAAAAGGTGAAAAGCCTTCATTTAAGAACAGCTATTCTAACACATATCCTCAAAAGCTAACGGATGGGGAAGTGGATGATATGAATGACAGCAAAAATATTAACAGAAATGGCGACAGAGATGCATGGAATTTGTTTACCATCAGTCAATTGAAGGTTAAACTTTAAAACAATGTTGGTCGTTCCCATGGAATATTTTTGACTTTAATGGTATTAGTCATGATATGAATCTCAAGGTATGAACGAGGAGAGATGAGAGACTTATATGCTTCCCAAATTTCTTCAAAAGGTAATGTTATACCTGACTGTTTCCAAATGAGTTCAATATCATAGCGTGAGAAACCTTGAAAGATAACGAAGTCAGTTATGAGACGTTTTATGTTTAAAGCAAGAAACGCCATGTTTGCATAAGTATTGCTACAGTTAAATGGTAATGTCTGACTTTAGTTATGATGTTAGCTAATGGTGAGTCAGGCTTTGACACTAAACCTTTTCCGGCGAAGTCGTCACAAACGAGCAGAGTGTTTGAAGGATACTTTTTGAAGGGGTATTTTGAAAGTTTTGATAGAATGTAGTTTGTCAGTCGTTTCATATCGTAAACTCCTGAGTACTGACGTAAGTGGTGTTTGTCAATAATTCTTTCCATCTCTTCTGAAGTCTTTTGCATTCCTGACTGTATGAACTCTACAATAGCATAATATTTTCTCTTACGTCAGTTAGTATGGCTAAGTTGGGTACGGCGGCACTGCGTTCCACCTTACCCAACTTAACCTTAAATATTTACAAAACCATCTGACACATAAACGACTTCACTAACGACTTCACTAACGACTTCACTAACGACTTCACTAACGACTTCACTAACGACTTCACTACCGTCCTCACTAAATAAAAATAACCTTATTTTTATTTTTTAAATTTTTTATTTCATTACAAAGACATGTCCGACTACATTTACTATGACTCTTTCCCAGAACGTTTCCGTGAACTATTCAAAACTCAAGTAAAACTGAGAAACATGCATTTTAACAAAGACAGACCCATTGACGATGAAAGAAACCCTGAATATATTACAATCCCATATGACGCAAAGTTCATTGCATACATTCCTTATGGTCGCAGAGGAACGAAAACTATTTCAACAAAGAACAAAAATTATTTCTGGAGCGATGAAGAAAATTGCCTTATCTACATAAATGCATACGTAAATAAAGCTACATATTGTACAAAAGAAGGTTGGACTGGATTTGAGCTCTACATATACGACGACGATGGAAACAGACGTTGTGTATACCCATACGATAATATGTACCATTGTTTTCATCAAGCATTAAACGAATACATAGTCAGTAAGGGTCTCATTCCTGCTGAGTAGAAATGTTATATTTTTGTTCCCACATTTATTTAAAAATTAATGATATCACCACCCTCACGCGTATGAAAACATAGCACAAAAATAAATTTAGGTGAAGTGGTGAGATCTCACCTGTTTTTTCACCTGTTTTTTCACCCTGTTGAATTCATTGCTTTATAACTCACTGTCGTCTGCTTTCTCCAACTCTTCTAACTTCTTCTTAAGTTCAGCAATGTTGTCCTCATGAAGTTTAATCTTTCTCAAAATTCCTTCTTTATCTAATGGTTGCTTTATCTTTCTAAACTGAACTCTACCATCCTTCATAGTATGAATGTAAAAACCTTCTGGAATAGTTCCTGATTTAATGTATTCTACCAAAAACTTTTGTTTCATTGCTTCAGTGACTTTAGTCGTCATTTTACTCTAAGGTGAAGCTAGCACAGCGATAATGGATTTCATGACTTTTTAGTATTTCATGCAATCTTAACAGATAGCCTTACAAGTACTTCCAGTGTCCCTAGCTGTCCCTCCTTTTTATATAACTCCATGACATTTATAATCTCGCGAAACTTAACAGGTAGCATAACAGATTAAAATCAGATGAGGTTTTGAACCAAAATTTCTAAGCAACGTTGTCAAGGATTTTGAGGAACTAGGGACAGAGTGTGGCAAAGTCCAAGATTTAATTTATCTTCATCTGTTTCATCAGCTATCTCATCTAATATGCCAATATTTTATTCATAACTCGTGGCAAACTCACTAACTTTCATTATGTTCATCTGCATGCTTCATCTGATAGAAAGTATGACTTTCATTAACTCTGTGAGATAATGAAAACTACTAGGGACAGAGACCATGGCAAAGTTTATGACTTTCATTATTTCCAGAACTTAATGAAAACTACTAGGGACAGAGACCATGGCAAAGTTCATGATTTAATTTATTCTCTCACTAACAACAAATACAAAACTCCAACACTAACGACAAAAATAAATGTCCTCACTTCTTAACAAAGTAATATGTGCTTCTTACACCACCATAGCTCAAACGTTTCTTTTCAAACATCGATTGAAACTTATTTTGAGCCATTGGCTTTAGTCTCTTTTTCTTCAAATACGCCAAGAAATCTTCTTCACATCTTTTCACTTCATAGCCTTCTTTAAACTCCTCCTTGTTAAGTTCTATGAAATCCTTTATCTCATTCTTTGTTGCAATGGCTTCTTCACGAACGACATCATGAACTATTTCATCATTGCATTCATGTATGACCTCCTTACTGTTCTCATGAACTATTTCATCATTGCATTCATGTATGACCTCCTCACTGTTCTCATGAACTATTTCATCACTGTTCTCATGAACGACCTCCTTACTGTCTTTCATAAGCGTTTCAAAGTCTCCTTTACTCATTACTTCAATCTCATGCTGTTCACAGTAGTACTTAAACTCACTGTATATGTCTTTGTTGTATGTTATATTGCTTCCCATGTACTCCATGAATTTTTCAAGCACTTCCTCATAATTCACTGTTTCTTTCTTTCCACGACCTTCTAATATCATACTTGCTTCGTAAATATAACTTCTTGCAGAACCGTCTCGCTTTCTACTTCTCTTCACAAATTCTCTCATCTTGCCACCAAATACATTTGAACTACATGCAAAGAATTCATTCTCCTTCGCAAATTCTTTATATCTTCTGTAGCACTCTGTACAATTCCATCCGGATACAAACTTTTCATAGAACTCCTCGTAAAACATTTGGTAAGGTGTTTTGTTCATTTCGATGAGTTCTTGTTTAGCCCTGGTGAATGGTATCTTCCTTACATCAAATTCACTTAAATCTTTCTTCATGAAGTACGTCAGTAAGTTTGAATAAAACTCTTCATTAAAGCTTTCAATGAGATTTGAGAAATATTCGTAATTTCCTTTGTATCTGCTGCTTACGTCAATGACAACAAATCTTCTGTCGTCTTTGTCAATCTTTACTGAGTTGAAGTTGTTAGATATCATGATGATATTACAAACATTCTCTATCTTTCTTACTGGCTGACACTTCTGATTTAAGTCCAACTGAGTCTCTGTTACTATTGACTTTAGTGCGTCGTGGTTCATGACCTTAGACGTATCGCATGAGCTTAGTTCATTGCATACGATGAGCTTCATGTTCTCAATAGCAGCATTGAATCTACCAACCACATTCTCTATTGCCGTTATATTATTGTTGGCGTACTTGCTAATGAGCTCGCATAGAACATTACTAAGTACATTCTTACCAGTTCCTTGCTTTCCTATTAACAAAAGTACTGTTCCAGTCTTTCCACAAGGATTTTGAACGATGTAGGCGAACCAGTTCAAAACATACTCATAAAGCTCTTCATCCTCATTACATATGACATCGTGAACATGTTTCAAATATCCTTCAATAACGCTTTCATCTACTTCATTCAGTACCTCATACTCATATCCTCTGAAATAGCTGTAAATGTCATCTCTTTCGTCAAAGAATCTCATGCCTGACTTCATAAGATAGTTCTTGTTCTGACCCGCTTCATAAATCATCAGTGCGTTCACATCCTTC